ATGACGATTTGTTTCTTCTCTGTGTATCACCTGAGACCAGTCATGTCACTGGGTATATGTAAGGGTTTACAATTACTTTAAAGTCAACCCATGTTGTTCCCATGCAGAACAAAGCAAGATATTTCTATTAATGCTCACAGCAGCACATACTCAACTTTCCTTTGCTCCCCCTCCTCACCATTTGGTCACCAGAAGCAAGTAAAGGACACTAACCAGGGCACACACAGGGCTGAGGACCCCTTTCCACCTCCATACAACACTCCCTGACCAATCCCCAGCACTGTCAACATGAGAGGCAGGGGAGTGGGCCACAAGCGCCTCCATACCTACCAGTATTTAATTTGCTTCTGATGTTTGAACAAAGCAGTGGGGAGTGAAGAAAAGACGATATGTGCTGCTGGGAAGATTTGCAAAAGGTGCATTAAAATGCCATTTTGTTGATAAGTTTTTTTTTATTTTTTTGCAGCATCAAGTTGTGTAAACTTTGACTTATGTAGTGATTGTGTTTCTTTGTCTTGCATTGCTTTGCTAGTACAAATGGGAAGAAATGGATAATGTGCACATTCACAACAAAGAGTCTAGCAGGTGGTACAGATCTTTGGTAACTGATACTCAAGGTAAGGCTTTCCTAGCTCCAGAAATGTATCAGAGTTGTGAAAAAAAAACCCAAATACATGAATGAAAACACACGCACAGCAAGCAAGGAGGATTTTTATTGCAGAAAAGATATGCAATGGCTTGTTACCTTGTTCCTTGCAAGATGCTTTAGAAAATCCATTCTCAGCCAGGATTCCTCCAGAAGTTGTTTGGGGTTCCTTGAACTATAGCTGATTGTGCTCCCATTTGATGTTGCCTGCGTAATTCCAGGGCCAGTGTCGCTTGGTGGAGCCAGTATGACACCAGTGAACTTTCTAGCTGTCTGTATTCATGAATGAAATGATTAATGAATTTCTGTGTGCATACAAAGGAGTTATGCCATCCCAGCTCTGTTAATCAAGATGGCCAAAGACCCTGAAACCAGAAGAAGCCAGGGAGCACTGGCAAGTGAGCATGTAGGCATAGCTGTCAGGCTAAGTGATAAACCAGATTCCCCTCACTGACCTTACAGGAACTCAAATCAGCTCCTGCCATTAAAAGTGACAATACAAACTCTAAGCACATGCAAAATACAACAAAGTAAAATTAACTTAAAGACATATGCCAAAACATGAATACGTGTGTTCAAACAAACCACCACAACCAACAAAGGGCATCCTGCCCTTAAAGTGTTATTAAACCCACAACAGTAAAATCAGTCTGTATACAATATGCAGTAAAGCATGCTTGTTATACTTACTTATACTTCTGTAAAAATGCTGTTTGATCCTATCTTATTTGATCCTCCCCTTCTTCCACAGTCCCCAATCCATCTGCTGATAGTACAGAGCCCTAGGATGCACTCAGCACATGCTCAGTTTGGTGTGTATTGCTAGAGGTTTTTTTTTTTTTTTGGGGGGGGGGAGGGAGTGTGCATATGATCAGCAGAGGACTAATCAGCACTATCCAGACAAAAGATCAGGGGTTATGCAGCCTCAGAGGACAGTCAGAGGAGAATGAAAACTCCTCCTACATGCCTTAACCAGTGCTTGGCCAGACTGCTAGAAGTCACACTGCTGATGAGAAAAGGTATTTAGCAGTTTATGTTGACTAAAATAATTGCATTTCCATGTTCTGTGTACTGTGGGATACCAGATATAGTGAATGCAGGGTCCTGGGTTTAGTAACACTTTATCCATTATTACATATGTACTCCAACTTTGGAGAGTCTCAGAGTTATAGAGTTAGGACTGCAGTACATTGAGGTGCCTTGATGTGTCTACTGCAGCTTACGCATATGTGTGCAGACTAAACCCCTTAGATTTAACGCGAACTGTTAGGGTCAATTCTGTTTGTTGCTGGCTGGTATATGAGCTTGGATTTTTTGTTGTTGTTTTTTGACATATATGAATTGTTATGCAAAACGCTGCTGTGCATATGTGTTTTGGTGTCAACCCAGCCTTACCATGGGACACTGTAGACTTTAGGATGTCTGTTTTGAATTTTCTTGTAGGATGTATACCTTCAGGTGTCAGCTGCCAGAGCACATAAGACATGGTAAAATAGGGCAGTGCAGTAGCTTAGTGGTTAGTAGTTCTACTTTGCAACATGGGGACCCTCGGTTCAAATACCAGCCAGAACACTAGCTAAATAGAGTTTGGATATCCTCCCTGTGCTTGCATGGGTTTCCTCTGGGTACTGTGGTTTCCTCCTACACTCCAAAGACATGCTGGTAGGTTAATTAGCCCTAGTATGCATGTGAGATTAAAACCTTTCAACTCTCTCAGGGCCGGGACTAATGTAAAGCGCTGTGTAGATGAAACAACTGTAATACATAAATAAAATAGTATGAGCTTGTAGGTGTTCCAGAGGACATTTTGAAGAAGACACTTTCATTACTGGATTCTGGCTGTTTAGATGACTGTAGTAATTGTGCAATCAGGAGCTAAGGAAATTGGCAAACATGTTGACTGTAAAGAACACATAATATTAATACAAAATATTTTATATTTAAAGTATAACTAAAGACAAGATTCTTGTGTTTGTTTTGGATAGAGTGGAGAAGCATTAGAACCTGTCAGGTTATTATTATTGCCATGTGTTCCCGTGAGGAAAATTCACTCTCTCTATTTGTCCTGTTTACTGTTATCACAGAGAATGAAAGTGAAAGACAATCCCAAATTTTAGGTTGTTACCAGAACATGCATAGATGGAATCACTAGTTACCTGGTGACCCTGGTGATAGCCAGGGAATCCTTCAATATGGAGGGATTTCCTCTTACTTCCTGTTTTTGCTGAGACAAGAAGTGAGTGAAATTTCCCCAATGGGTCACAAAATCACAAAACCCAATGTGACAGGGGCTGTAACCCTCCCTTATGCTATTCAAAGTGAAAGAAAAAGTTTTTTCCTTTAGCTCTGCTTTAAAAAAAAAAAAAAAAATTCTATTTCAGGGCCTGTTTACACCTATGCATTTTTCTTTGAACGCATTAAAACGCATGTCATTGCATGTGCTATTGTGTGTATCAGTTCATCTAGGTTGAATCATCATTATGACATATACTGTACATTGATGTTCAATACTAAGGCATAGCAACGTGGGTTAAAATGTGCAGCAACACGTCTTAACATGCTTTGGTGTGTTTTTTATTGATTTCAGTGGAAAACACATAAGTGGGAAAATTAATTAGCTGTGAATAGGCTTTCAGCTCTGACCATAATAAACAAATATATACAGTATACTTCCGAGTCACAGTCAATACAGAATAAAACAAAGAAATGTCAGATTTCCTTACCTCTATACTTGTTCAAAGTCGGTGAGACATGAACCGCTTCCCAACTGCCCCATAGCAGAACTACTGCTACAGGGTGGCAGGACTGCACAAAATCACGTGTGTGTGTGTGTGTGTATATATATGTATATATATATATATATATACACGTGATTTTCCAGGTAGGGGGCGCCGCCCTCCCTGCGCTACCATTGATCGATCACCGGGTCCCGGCCATAGATTCCCCGCTGGCACTCGGCAATCTTCTAGTATCACTGACAGGGGAGAGACCTTTGTGTAAACAACACATAGTAAAACAGCACACGGTTAACCCTTTGATCGCCCCAGATGTTAACCCCTTCCTGCCCAGTGTCATTAGTACAGTGTCTGTGCTTTTTATTAGCACTGATCAACGTATTAGTGTCATTGGGATGTCAGTGACAGTCAGTTTCCCCCCCCAGTGTCAGAATGCCCACCGCAGTCCTGCTATAAGTCGCTGATCGCTGCTATTATTAGTATAAAAAAAGAAAAAATTCCAGTATATATACCACCATTACATGTATTGGGATTTTTTTTTTAGCAAAGACATGCATTTTGGCCTAAATTTATGTCGAAATTTGATTTTTTAAAATTTTTTACTGGATATGTTTTATAGCAAAAAATCAAAAATATTGTTTTTTTTTTCAAAATTGTCAAGTCTAATTTTGTTTATAGCACAAAAAAATAAAAACTGCAAAGGTTATAAAATTGCACCGAAAGAAAGCAGTACTTGTGGGAAAAAGGAGATATATGTCATTTATTTACAGCGTTGCATGACCGTGCAATTATCAGTCAAAGTAATGCAGCGCCGTATTGCAAAAAAATGGCCTGGTCAGGAAGCGGGTAAATCCTCAAGAGGGCAAGTGGTTAAATCCTAACATTTGGGCATTCAGATATGATTAAAGTATAACTTAAGGCTAAACTGTTTTTTTTTTAGTTTTGGATAGAGTAGAGATTGATTAGAGCACCTATTAGGTTTTTATTGCTGTCTGTGCACTCTTTAAGGCAGGGGTCCTCAAACTACGGCCCACGGGACACATGCAGCCCGCCGATGACACTTATCCGGGCTGCCGGCAGGGGCGTATTTGCCGCGAGGAAAGGACACTAAGTACAGGGGCGGGCAGGGGGCTGCTGTATCTTACCTGGCTCCGTGTCCCAGTCCCACAACAATTCAGTGGTCCAGGAAGCGCTGCTCCTTCATTCACTCCGGCCACCCCCTCACTCGATGTTCATGCTGCCGCTCGGCTCCGCCTCCTCACCGGTGATTGGGCGCCAGAACTGTAGCTCAGGAAAGGCACACAGGTGGCCAATCACCTGTGAGGAGGCGGAGCTGAGCGGCCCCGCGAACATCGAGTGAGGGAGAGGCCGGAGTGAAGAAGGACAGCTGACAGGTAAGTGTGCCGTGCAGATGGTGCTGCTGCAACCAGGTATGCTGGCTGCAGCAGCACCATGCCGGAACAGGGGTCAGCAAGTCAAGTGTCATTGGTGCCCCATCATTGGTGCCACTGATGCTAATGATGGGGCATTATTCCTCCCACTGACACCAATGATGGGGCACTATTCCTCCCCCAACTGACACCAAGGATGGGGCACTATTCCTCCCCCAACTGACACCAACGATGGGGCACTATTCCTCCCCCCCACTGACACCAACTATGGGGCACTATTCCTCCCCCCACTGACGCCAACGATGGGGCACTATTCCTCCCCCAACTGACGCCAACGATGGGGCACTATTCCTCCCCCAACTGACGCCAACGATGGGGCACTATTCCTCCTCCCCACTGACACCAACGATGGGGCACTATTCCACCCCTCACTGACACCAACAATGGAACACTATTCCTTCCCCCACTGACACCAATAATGGGGTACTATTCCTCCCACTGACACCAATGTTGGGACACTATACCCCCCCCCACTGACACCAATGACGGAGCACTATTCCCTCCCACTGACACCAATGACGTACTATTCCTCCCACGGACACCAAAGATAGGGCACTATTCTTCCCACTGACACCAATGATGGTACACTATTCCTCCCACTGACACCAATGATGGGACACTATTCCTCCCACTGACACCAATGTTGGGACACTATCCCCTTCCCCCACTGACACCAATGACGGGGCACTATTCCCCCCCCCCCCCACACACACACACACTGACACCAATGATGGGGCACTATTCCTCCCCCCACTGACACCAACAATGGGGCACTATTCCTCCCCCCACTGACACTAATGATGGGGCACTATTCCTCCCACTGACACCAATGATAGGGCACTATTCCTCCCACTGACGCCATACTGTGACCGCAGTCTCTGGTCATCTCCTGTACTGTCCGCAGTCTCTGGTCATCTCCTGTACTGTCCACAGGTTCTGGTCATCTCCTGTACTTGTCTGTGTCCGCATTTGTGCATAGTTTTTTTTTTTTTTAAACTATAGTCCGGCCCTCCAACAGTCTGAGGGACAGTGAACTGCCCCCCTGTTTAAAAAGTTTGAGGACCCCTGCTTTAAGGAGAATCTCCCTGTCTATTTGTCCTGTTTACCATTATCACTGAAAGTGAAAGTAAAAGAAAATGTTGTGTTGTCCCGAGAAAAGTAATAGACAAGTAATCTTCCAATGGTAGTGACCTGGCGGTCCCCAAGGAATTCCTTTAACCACTTCCTGCCTGGGACTCTCGTCGATCCGGGTGGGTGTCATATGACGTCCTTCCCGGATCGTGCTTTGCGCGTGCCCACAGGGCCGTGCTGTGGCGAGACCTGTCACCGGCCATGTACCTCGGACACAGCCGATGACATATCTGTGTACTGGCCCGTTGTCAGTACCATGTGACCTGCTGTGACCAATCACAGCAGGTAACATGACAGTTGTAATCAATGGATAGCTTCCTTTCATTTCATCCATTGTATACAATTGTGTCACTAGCTGTGATTGTTCACAGTGATCACATGCACAGACTGGGCCAATCACAACCCATCTGTGTCATGTGATTAGCCATGGCCAATCACAGCTAATCACAACAAAAAAACCTGAAAGAATCTATTTCATTCACTTAAATGCTTGTTTATAGCAAATACATTTTTTGCTATAAGCAATCATATTGTGTAAAAAAAAAAGCAAAAAACAAATACCGATCACTTCCCCAAAGTAGTACAATGGTACTATGGTAACATTATACTACTTTGGTCATAGTGTAATATGAAAAGAAAACTGTAAAAAAAAAAGAGAAAAAATTTAATAAAAAATACATAAATAAATAAAAAAAATTATCAATTTTTGTTTTTTTTGTACTGTCACCAGTTAGTGTCCTTGATCACACATATGATGATGCTGTACTGCACTGGTGACAGTATGTTAAAAAAAAAAAAATACAACTTTAAAAAATTAACCATACCTCCTATGAAATGCGTCGGATTGTCTACTTTGCAAAAAGGGCTATTTTGGGGGATATCTGTACTGCTCTGACATTTTTTGGGCCTCAAGAAATTAGATTGGCTGTCAGTGCTTCAGGATTGATCAATTTTCAGATATATCCCAGAGTTTGTGAACTCTATAACTTTTCTACAGACTAAATAATAAATACTGATTTGGGTTATTTTCACCAACGAAATGTAGCAGAATACATCTTGGCCTAAATTTATGAAGAACAATTATTTATTTGCAATTTTTTATAACAGAAACAAAGAAAAACTTTGGGTTTTTTTTTCAAACTTTTCAGTCTTTTATTGTTAATTTAGCAAAAAATGAAAGCCCCAGTGGTGATTAAATTCCACCAAAAGAAAGCTCTAGTTGTGTGAACAAAATTATTAAAATTTAGTTTGGGTACAGTGTGGCATGACCGCGCAATTATCATTCAAAGTGTGAGAGCGCTGAAACCTGAAAATTGGCCTGGGCAGGAAGGGGGTAAAAGTGCCTGGTATTGAAGTGGTTAGTTTGCTTGGATTTCCTCTCACTTCCTATTTGGCTGTGGGACGGGAAGTGAAGGAAAACCTCTGCAATGAAACACAGATGGTGAAAAAAAAATATGACAGGGGTTATAGCCCTCCCTTGCTCTATCCAAAATAAAAAATAAACGTTTTGCCTATAGTTCTACTTTACAGTCCCCATTTCACTCTAGCTGTTAAAGGATTTAAATATTTTTTTCCTAAGAGGATCAGACAAAAGAGTATTATTTACCCTAATCCAGGGTCCCTTGGTCTTCTTCCTCATGTAATTTACTGGTCCACTATACCCATTTTTTTTCTCCACCACTGCATTTTACATGATGATATAGAACTGTCTGTTCACATTCCAGCAATAAAGAGAAGAGGACTGAACTGAAACCTGTCTTGAGACCCAAGGTTAAGGTAAAAAATCATCCCATAGGCTAGGTTTACACCTGTGCGAGTGATCGCCGCTGTGGGAATGCACTTGTTCCTGCAGCCGCAAACACCCGCACAGAAAACTGTAGGAGATGCTTGCGGGTGCCATTACCCTTAATGGCTCCAGCATGCACTGGAAATCGCAACAGCCGCTTCCCACACTGGGAACCACACTGCCCTTGTGGTTTCTATGTGGGCTGCAATTTCAAAAATGATGCAGGGACCTTTTACCTGCACTTTCAAGAGCACGGCAGCCCAGTGAAATGAATAGGCTGCCGTACCCATGCAAGACGCGGCTCATAGAGCTGCAGTAGTGTGAACCAGGCCTTACCTAATACCCTATGAAAAACAAATATCAAATCCTTTTTCAGCTTGGGGAAAAGGGGGGAATTAATAATTTTGTGAAGAAGTTTAGCTTTAAGGTAATAAGATCTAAGCTTCACTGTGATCACAAGGTAACTCGAGTTTTCAGACTTAGAAGCAATGGTTGACTTTGTCATTACAGGCTGGCATTAGGCCTCATGCATGTGATTAAGCCCTCTTGCTCATGGGCATCATAATTTACTGATGTTTACTCAGGAACTTATTGACAGAAAGTTCCTGAGTAAAAAAATTGTCTGTAAAGACCTTGAGTAATATTGAGTAATTGTGCGTAAAGGTGCATAAGCATACAGACGAGCAAAATTCTTTCACACTACCAGTTTTGTAATATACTCATTTATACTCATGTAAGCATGTTTATAAACAAGCGTATGCTTGTAATATACTCATTTATACTCATGTAAGCATGCTTATAAACCAGCGTATGCAAGTAAATTGCTACATTCAAATGTAAAATTTTCTGTTTTTGTTTTACTGCTCTATATTACTGATCTTTACTCAGCTGTGTCAATTGCTCAATAGACAACAATGCATCTAAATCCAGATCAGTAAAAACTCAGCATTATTACTCCTGTATGCAAGAGGCCTTAGATTGTCCAAACAATCTGTAACATTTTAGTAACATTTACATGCATTCAGGTGGACAGCGTGTTGCTGTCTAGCGTCCTTTGTTGCTATGATGTAAGTGACTTCTGCAACCTAGTGTGTTTCGTTGCTAGGACGCAGCCAATTGGTTAATAGTATGCGGGCTGCTTGCTATTATCGCTTAAGCTGGCCATAGATTGGTTGAATTTTGGCCAGTTCAGCAGGGACCATTAGAGATTTGATTCATCAACTTGACATTTTTGACTGCAGTGACAAGAAAATTTGAAGGAGCAGGGTGAGATTTGTTTCTCAAAGAACAGTGAATGTGGTTTTTGTTCAGGAAAGTCCCTTCACTGCAAAATGGAATGTTCAAAGCAAAAATTTTTAAATACTTTCAACTGACATTCATCACTTTCATCATGTTCATCATTTATGAACATTCATTTGAAAATCTACTAGTGTATGGCCAGCTTTAATCTGGTAGCGGGTTGCTGTGAATTTACTTTAGTTATTAGCAAATACATGTTGATACATGAGACCTTTGACTGATGTGAGAGAAATAATTTCTGATCATCTTTATACCATGTGTTAATGAAAGCCTCATACATATCAAGAAAACATTACATTACAAAAGCAAGTCCAGGGGCGGACTGACCATTTGGAAACTCGGGCACTGCCCGAGGGCCTGGGGTCAGTAGGGGGCCCCATGAGATGCCCCTGGTACCTTTTTCATAGACTTTTTTGAGTTTGGGCAAGGACACAGGGGCCCCATGATCCCCTATTGCCCGGGGGCCCCATAAGTTGTCAGTTTGCCCCTGAGAAAGTCATATTCAGCCTAGGCCATATTTAGTTTAAATAGGCTAAGTGGTTAGCACTTCCACCTGGCAGTACTAGGGTCGTTGGTTCGAATCCCAACCACTGCATCACCTGCCTGCAGTTTGCATGTTCTCTCTGTGCCTGCGTGGGTTTCCTCCTGGTACTCCGGTTACCCCCCACACTCCAAAGACATGCTGGTAGGTTAATTGGATCCTGTTTAAATTGACCCTAGTATGTGTATGTATGAATGTAAGTTAGGGACCTTAGATTGTACGCCCCTTGAGGGTTAAGGACTGATGCGAATGTGCAATATATATTGTGACAGGATGAACGGCGAGGTGATAGAGGGACGCTATGTGTCACCTCGCATATGCTCATACCTGACCGTTTAGGTGAAGTCCACTCCGGGTTTTCGGGGCCACAGTTAAGCAGGTGGGTCCGGACCAGAGTTTGGGCTCCACTGATGACCACCAACAGGTGGTATAAATAAGGCAGGGCTGGAGCAAGGAGTTGCTCGTGGCCTGGGACTCAGAGAGGTGTTCTGAGAGAGCTGTGTGTGTACTATACCTACAAGAAAAGGTTTGCTTTTGTTTTATTTCGGTGACAGGGAGAAGCCCTTCACCTCTGAGAGAGGAAACGCCTTTTGTTTAGTTAGTGCCTGGATGGCAAGGGTTTATTTTCATGTTTTGTTTATTTTCTGCAAACCTTTTAAATAAAGCTGACAACCAGTCAGATTTTGATGAAAGCCTGCTGTGCGGTCTACCTTTGTCCCAGGGAAGGAGATCCCCCACCTGAGCTAACCCCACAATATGTAAAGTGCTGCATAAATTGACAGCGCTATGTACAGTAAGTACCTGAAATAAATACCAAAATAAATAAAAAACAGAATTTGTCTTTATTGTAAAATTAAAGCTAGGATGTATTCCTTTGTTTTATCAACCTGAGAAAATGTGTAAGCAATCACTTTAACATTAGTGCCATGTTTGCTAATATTAAAGCCACAGACCACAATGATCAGCAATGGAACAAAACATTCCATTTTGCTGAACAGTGATTGGAAGAGAACACAATGGCATCAAATATTGCATGCTAAATTAATTCTTT